GAGCATTTATATTGCTAAATTTATTTCCCTCAAGGGTATATGAGAGATCTCACATTCAGATTCAAATACAGAAGGAGAAACATTCTAGGTGTTAGGATGTGTCAAAAGCCAGCAGAACACCAGCTTGTTACTAAATTTATCTATTCTCTTCTATTTCATCAGCTGAACAAATTCTTGCTGTGAGTGTGAGCGAACACCAGAGCAACCTGTACTTTCTTCTGGCTGGTGCCATCAGAAACAGGCTGACTTCTGTTCCCAGGGTCTTTCTGCATTGCTGTTACAAACGGTCTGAAGCTCAAAGGACACGATGAGTGCTTTCCGTATTGAGGAATAAGCTCAAAAAGTTGCAGGGGGAGACACACACCTCCTTAAATCCCGCATTTGGATAGAACTGAGAGCACTGTAGTCCAAGATGGAAACAGCAGTTTGAGTGGGCACTCTCAATTGCAGATGTACATCAGCTGTTTTGCAATCTTGAAGATTTTCCAGTTCCATTTGGATGCAAAGAAAGGCTGCTCCCATCTAGCAGAAAGAGAGTGTATTTAAATGCTCAGCTTGATTTCTGCCCATGACTTCGTTCTAGGTATTTTCCAAAGGTGCCATAAAACTCTGCTGAACTTAGAATAAAATCCACACTATGATACCTTACACCTGCCTGGTTATCTACTAGAAAAACTAGACAAATGCAGATTAAAGCCCAAACTCCATACTGCTCTCAGTTTGAGTGCTACCACCTTACATGAAAATCAAATAGAATATAAATATAAGATCAAGATGAGGCTTTACAAATGTAAATGTTACTTTCTGTATCAAAGTATTTCTAAGAAAAGGTGCAGCAAACTTTCTCCAGCAGATGCCGCTAACTTTGAACCAACAGAAGGAAGCCTCACTGGCAAACCTCCAACATCTCTGAAAATGACCAGCAAGCCTCTAATTCCATGTCCTGCTTCCAAGATCATGTTCCAACACATTTACAGGCAGCAGAAGAAAGAAAATCGCTTTGTAGTCCGACACTTACAGTGATTGTCCTGGATTCTCAACGGGGCCATTTCAGCAGGTCCCAGGCCACAGCAAGCAATAGAAAACCATCCCAATATACTGGATCAGAATGAATGACAAAATGAAATTAGTGCCAAGAACATCTGGGACATTGCATGGTGCTGGAATCTATCGTGCAGGTTCTACAAGAGCTTTGGGCTAAAGCTCTACCTCCTGTTGTGCTGCCTATCTAGTCATTATTGTGAAAAACTAAATAGAGAAGGAATAAAGATGGTGATGCTGGCAATAGCCAGTAACTGCAAGGAACTTGTAGATAATTAGATAGCTAATGTTCATACCAGGCTAAGGATTTGGGAAAAGTAATCCAACAGACAGGCATTCTGCTCAGCTTATTCACACAAGCAGGGACCTGCCAACAGGTACATGCTAGGTGATGACTGGTATTGGTTAAAAGTGTAAACTTGCAAATTGTAACAGAAGTTTTACTCACTTTGCATCTTGTATATCCTGTTGCTTTTGTGCAAGGCACTAGAGAATCAGGCACATTGTTTCATGTGGAAACCTTTTTATGACTATGATGATCTGAGTTTTATGTTCTATAGCTTCACAGAGGAGCAGTTGGAGCACAGTCAATATTAAAAATTGCCATTTTTCCAGATCTTTTGGGGGATTGGGTGAATGGAGAATTAGGGAAATAGCTTTGTTCTAACAGGGAAACTCCTGAAGAAAAATATTTGGGATCAGTATGGTTGATCTCCACTCTGATACTGATGCTGGCAATTTTTGTTACCAACGTCAATATTATTAACAATAAAACAGATTCTTACATTTTTATATCAAGTTCTGGCTCTTGACATAGATGAACCTACATCCAAATCCCTGTAGCACATAGACATTGCATGATGTGTTCAAGACATTCTTTCCAACTTCTCTGGGGGGATCAGAAACAATGATTTATCTCCCACAGAGAAACCAAGAAACTGGAACTGGCATGTAGCGATGCCTATAAATGACCACAGCACTCAGGCTAGCTCTTCCTCGGGAGAACAAAGAAATCTGACTGTTTTGGACTGGTCAGTGCAGGAGTGTGAGATAAATCAGGTGTTAGGAGGACGGTGACGCAGCCCAAGGCAACACAGAAGCAAGAGACTGAAAAATGGAAGCGATTACTCCAGATTATTATGATCAATACTGTCAGCAGAAGGAAGGCTTAGCTGACATTTCTGTTCTTGCTGGCTGTGTGAGGATGACGAAGCGGATCTCGGCAGGTGCTGAACTGCTCGTGCCACATGAGTTAACTTGAGTTCAAAGCACAAAGACTGAAGAATGCTCTGTGTGTGGCCAGGGGCCAGGCTGTTGTGCTATTGCCAGCCTTGTTTCAGACATGGTACCTCAACAAGTGCCTACTTATGAATCAAAATGCCACAGCCATAAGATCCAAAACTGATTTAATATAAACTGCTGATTAAAGGTTGTATAAAAATACTGGTAATTTGGCTTTGTCCTGGTAGGACTTATCAATACCTTCTGTTCTCTGCCTCATTAACACCAATTTTCTCTCCAGTTTTGAAGGTTTGTGGCTTTAGTCCTTTATGTAATCCATATCCAATTTGTACCAGAGGGCAACCTGGTCTGGCAACAAAACCATTCTTCTGTGCAGAAGTTTATAAAGAATAATCCTATTACAATAATTCGTAAAGTGCCCTCGGGAAAGGTGCTCACAATGCCATGACATTATAGAAACAATATATAATCTGATACATTATTTTCAAAAAAATCCTTCAAAGCAAAAAGGAGGTGAGCAACAAATACAAAGGCAAATACTTTTAGTCCAACAACAGTCGAATTATGGAATGCTTTATAGTCTTGGAGTGCTATTAAAATGGGAGGCGGGAAACAAATTGGCAGGAATATCTTGGGAAGGTCCCAAATTTTTTAAGCTCTACCTAAGTAAGTACACCATCAGCAAGCCCAGTGTTTGAAGATGAAATGTCTATGAATTACCATGAGGTATTTTACTGTGGAAATTGAAAAAATACAACATGTAAAGAAAAACCATATTTTACTAAGAGGAAAGAAGATTATACAGTGCCTGTGTATATCCACTGACCCTTAGTGTCTTTTCTTTCCTATTTGCAAAGAAAACAATCTTTCTCTTCCCTGTTAATTTCAGATTCTATATACACATCTAAAACTATATCATATAGTTTTGCATGTATATACACACACACACACACACACACACAAAAATACTCATAAACACTCATATGTGTATATATCTCAGGGTCTTACTGGATTTCAGAGTCTGTTTTTGCTTTGTGACTTGTGAAGAACACAACTGGGCAAAAAATCGAGTAATTGCATGCATGCAAGCGTATCTTGCCACTTGTGCATGTAAATTACACAATTTGTAAATAACTGCAGAAATAGCATGCTCAAATTAGGCACCTGATTGCCCAATTAACTTGTTCACAGAAAATCAGATGATAACCTTTAGTAAGTCCTATTATGAATTCTTTTCACTGCTACCCTATGGAATCCACAGTGTATATTGCAAACAACTGCATTGTTATTTTGTGCTTTTACATAGACACAAGCAGTGCTACACACTTAATAAAGCTATCAAGTGAACTTTGGACCAGATTTTAGGAAGTTGTTTATATACTTAAAATCCTCTTATAAGAATGAGCCAGCTTATACAATTTATTAAAAAAAAAAAAAAAAAAAAGTAGAAGAAGATTTGGTCTAATTTCAGTTGGTTCAAATGTTATGAAAAAAAATTACCCAGGCATTTGTGGCCCCTCATGCCTCTATCAATAGGCAAAGTTTTGCTTCAGTCTTTGATTTTTTTAGGTGTCTTGTTTTCTTTATCAGGCAAGTATTATTTCGCCATATACATTCACTTCCTAGTAAATCCTTCCTTTATTTTTTGCATCAAAATAATCATTAATTAACAGTAATTTGATACAAGTGGACACAGAACACCAGGTTGCCGCATTCCAGTGTGTACTTCCTAATGGACAGAGAAACTGAAATACCCAAATCAATCCAAGTACTGCGAATAGAGAAATTAGTTAATTCATGTATCAAAATGAGTTAAGAAATGGTCTTTTACCACAAATATGTTGCTCCTTTGCTGTTGTACTTCTTTTTCTGAGATGATGTTGGGGAAAGAGGGTATTTTCTTTTCTCTACCAATTTTTTGCATCAAATAAATCTTAGTAGCTTTAAAAGAAAAAGCTGAACGAACCATTATCTTAACAACAATCTCTGAAATAAGAGAAAAGGAACCAAAAGCAGAACTGCTGGGCTGGATCGTGTCCCTGAATTAGGTATTACATATAATCCTAGTGGCTGCATTTACCAGTTCTTCACAGGCCTCCTGCAGCAACAGCTGTGCTGGTCCAACTGTTCATCTCCCCTCAGAAAGGAGAGAGTAATAAGAAAAGCTACTGGAGCCCCCTTATATTCTTGTGAGTTTCAATCAAGCATCACTGTATTTCTTCCCTCAGCCTTCTCGTGACAGTATCTGCTGGTGACTTGCCATTGCTGCTTTTCTTCCTCCAGAGGATCAAAATCCAATTTGGTACTTAAATGACTTTGTTCCACTCCACTGGTCTGTGCCTCTTTTAAAAATCTTCCAAGAGTGCTGCTTGTCCTTCTTGCAAAATCAGCTTTGCTTTTCTCCTATAAACAAATAAATGAAAATCCCAACTCTTCCCCACATGCCCTTTTCAAAAATATAATCATGATTATTTGTATCAGGAGAATTATTTAGCAGTCTCCAGTCTTAGTACAGCTTTTGTTGAGAAAACTGTAGCTTATATGACTCTGAAGTGTTTATTAGAAAGCTTTCAAAAAGAGATCTTCGTTTCAGGAAAAGAAAAATTGTTCAGTTTAGCAAATACAGATTTTCACAGCAGAAAGACTGAAATGGTTAAAAATGATCCTAGGGAGCAAGCAGCTCACAGAGTTAGCAAAATAATGAACTTTTTCCTTTCTTTTACAGAAGAACACTAATAGCTGCTCTGGTTTCCACACTTACTGAGACAGATTTTCTTGTGTCGTCTTGGTTTTGCTTTTTTTTTTTTTTTTTGCTCTATTGCTCCACACAGGTTTTAATTAGTGCTTCTCCTTGGCTACAAGTGCTTCATTTTGAAATACAAAGCTCTTCAAAAAAAACCAAAACAAAACAAAAAGAAAACACCCCAAAAAACCAAAACCCCCAACACCACATCACTGGAGGGGAAAATGGGAAGTGATACAGTGCAGCTGCAGCAATCTGCTTCTGCTGTTGTCCTCCCCCTCCCCAAATCCTCTGCATAATTTCAATCGTTAGTCGATGAACCTTTGGCAGGCCTTCTTCCATCGGCAGGCAGTGCACCACATATCTCTGTTCTCCATCCCATAGACCTTCCGACATTTTTTCCCCTCCCCTCTAGGCTTCCTGTCAGAGAGAAAGGGAAGGTTGTTAATGAGATGCTTCAGTAATTTTGCTTTTCACCCTAAGACCAGGACAACAAACTCAGTTGTGTGCAGGAGGCAGAGAACCCATGGCCTTTCACAGGATTTGGGCTGTTTTCATCCCAGCTGGGGGCTGATGAAGCGACAGACACATGTATGGCCATGACTCCATCACTCTCAGGGACCAGGCCTTCTCCTTTGCCTGGCTTCCACAGCTTCTGCAGCAGCTGCTGAGCCTGCTCTTCTGCTCCTGGGATGATGCCAGGAGCATGCAGCCCTGACTTTAGCCAGCAACTAAACCTGGACTTAGTAAATTAGTAATATATTAGCCACATGAAGTGCCAAGCTGTAATGGGCAGTCATAGCTGTTCCACAATATAGGCTAGGCCATGTCAGGCTAAAGTGCTGCAGAGCTGTGGTAAAAATATTTGGAATAGCTCAGAGCAGCAGACCTTCACCACCAGCAGGTATCAGCTATGCCAAAGCAGAGAAAAACTACCAGCTCCTAACCTGCAGTTTGCTCTGAGTTCATTGACTGGAAAACAACAAAGTGAGTGGGAAGTTTTACCCCTTGCTCTCACTTGCAGCACATTCTTGTGTGCACATTCTCTGGGGCCCCCAAAGCCAGCAAGGTGGGCAGCACCCACTTTTAAAGCTGTTAACAATTGTCCTGTTTTCCATCTTTCAACCACACTCAAAAGATCACAAGTTTAGCAAATGATCCAAGTAACTGTTAAAATGTCTGGTTTTTGGTTTTTGTTTTTTTTTTTTATTGAACACACAGCAAGACAGCAAACCATGAGGAGAAATGCTTCACCAAGCAATCTAACGTTTACTACTGCAATGCCATCAGTCCTGGCATCTTTAAATAAAGTAACTGTACCAACAGAACTGTTTAATACCTATTTTACATGTTGTATGGCCCACCTGGGATCTCTTTCTTGCATTTTCTGATTACTGAACATTAATTAATGGGCACAATCCATAAACTAGGAAGATCCCAAGTTTGGTTTGTAGCATATGCAACGATCTGAGAGTCATGAAGAAAATGAAAGGCATGATATCTTCCTTTTTGTTTCATTTTAGGGTACAGTCACTTTTAGGACTATGAGAAATAAGGAGTTTCTTTACTGTAAGAAATTTAGCATTATAGTCTGATTTTTTAACCTTTTTGAACACTTTAAAAGTAGATTCTTGTCAAATATCAGTTAGGTTTAACAGTAATGAATGCAGTTTATGTCTAGGAAAATAATGCATAAAAAGCTTTGCCTTGATCTAATTTACTGTCTTACAGGGTTTCTTATGGCTCAGTTGAAGCCAAATACCATTCTGACTGAATGGTGATAAACACATAAGACAGTCCAGCCTTTCAGGGAAAAGTGTAAAGCCAGAAAGTGTGGCTGAACTTTACCTTTGATGGCAGTGAAAAGAAAGATAGGTTCTGAATGTTTATTTTGAAGACCTCTAGCAAGAATCTGCTTGATACGTGCAATCAGGATTGGTGGTGGGCTTTTTCTGTTTCTCTGGCCACTGACAACTTAGTTACTGAATGCCCTCCAGATTGTGAGGCTGTAGTGCCAGCAGGAGCTAATGGTCCCATACCTCAAGCCAAATGCTACTCTAGGCGGTGATGAAAGACCTGTGTGGGACTGTTTCTGCTCTCCACTCCCTGCAGGACGATTATGGGTTGGTGAGACCTGTCAATACAGACAAAAAGGCTTCTTAAAAAGAGCATACATGTATGAATGCAGTATAAATACTTTTTCCCAGAAAATGAAAATTACGCTGCATGATAGCAAGGATACCCAGGAAAGGTGACTATATAACATACAAACGTAATTAAGCTGTAAGTTTATTTAGCATTAGGTACACTGCATTAGGTTCTCTTTGTTTCCCTGTATCTCCAGTCATCCTCCTAGAGCAATCCAAAATACAGATCAACATCACTGCAGGTTTTGGAAAAGACAAGAAATACATTCATTCTTATTTAAAAACTCTGAATAGCTCTTAGGAAAACCTTCTCCAATTTAAGCAAAGAAAATAACTGGAAAAATAAACTCGGTCCTTTGCTGACATCAATACCAATAATCTCCTATGAAATAAAGGGATTTCACTTATTGCTCCTGTCACTTGGCACTCTGGAGAGACATCCTGGAGAAGAGGGTTTGCTGAAGAGCGCTTACAATGGGGCCCCTTGAGGTTTAACAGGCAGGGAGTCCAATGCAGCCCTTCTGACCAAAGCTGCTAACAAGATGTATCTCCTTACTCTGCACAGTAAACCTTCTCAGCAGGTATCCTCTTTGTGAATGTTTCCAAGGGAAGGGTGTAGTTTGGTCTTCTGAAACTTTCCAAAGAAGTCTCCTACATGAACGTGGGGCTTGGCAATATCATTCAAGCGATCACATGGCATAAAGCTTGGCCTTAACACCTAAATTATTTTACTATGGTCTTATTCTGCTCCTGTGTGAAGGCCACAACCATTTTACATCTAAAGTGAAATGAAAAGAAAAAAATTCTGAACCTTCATTTTTTTGTTGTATATTGAATGTAACAAGCTTCATTTGGGCCTCTAGTACTCCGTCAGCCTCCTGCTGCCAGGAACTGCAGATATGGTCACAGTTCTCTGAACTGCTATGACTTTTCCCTCCTGCCCTTTTGAAGTTTTACAATATCTGGAAGAGAGGTAACTGACTGACCTCACTTGAAGAGTATTACTGTATGTGCTTTGACTTTTCATACAAAGTCTGTTTTAAAGCTACTCCATAGTAGCAAAGAACTAATGCTTGCAATTGTGTGCAGACACTCTTTCAACTTTTACTCTTGGCTAATAGCAAGAGAAAATTTTGATTTAACTGCATATGTGGCTCATACTCTGAGCAAACTAATACCATTACTGATATACAAAATATACATGCAAAACTTGGAAGAAATTTCTTCTCTCTGACAGCTTACCATGTTTTGTACATCCAAAGACCACACTAGCTCCTTTTGTTCTATCCCTCAAGTATACCACGGGCAGCTTGTTCCCTGCTACTTTTTTCCCTAATTTTTATCAACCACTTTCCTTGTTTTACTTAAGAATGATTCAAACACTGAAGATAAAATCCAAAGCTATAGCACTTTTATAGTATTTGGCATTCACCAGACACTGTACAGTTTTCCAGTCATTACCAGTAACCAGAGGTCTCCAGTCACTGTGCTAGGGTTCAGAAACATTTAAAAAAACCCAGAAATTACTATATGTCTACCACTAGTAACTGACACTCAATATAGTATCTGCTTGTCATTGAACAGAAGAGTACTTGGATGGCCTCCTATGTAATAAGCAATTATCTTGCTTACTTCCAAACAGAAATCAGGCTGGAGCAGACTCCTCCCTTGCATTCTCCTGAGAAGGTCTCTGCACAATGGTTCTACAGACTGGCACACCGAGGCAGCTACAGAGCACTGAAGCTGAGCTTCAGTGTTTTTTTTTTAAGCTTTGCAGCAGGTCTAAATACCAGTCAGCTGCTCCCTGCAGGGAACACTAAGAGCAGACTAAGAACAAGCCCTGAGAAGGCAATCCTTGCCCTTGGAGGCTTTCATGTCTGAAGCACTGTTTAATGCAGAGTAAAATAACGCTATTTGATTGAAGCAAGGACCTAGAGTTTCCAGTTACAAATCCTGGGGGGAAAACTGTGGTTACAGAGAAGACTTGTGATCTGTAAACATCAGATTATTAAGGATCTTGCCTGTTCAACTCTTATGGGTCTTATGAGCAGACAGTATCAGATGGCAGAGATCATACTGACATTCAGGAAGACTTGAAATGGAAATAGATGGTCATTATGTTAAGTTCTCCAGTACTAAGACACACAGACTTCACCATGGCTTATCACATTTGCATCATTTCATTTACTCTCCTCATGCATCCCTAGGGTGTGGCTGATATATTCTCCTAATTCAGCCTCAACTGGTAGAAGAATCAGTCTGTCCTTTCTGCTTCATGCAGAAAACAACACTTCACAATGGGTAATAACTGTTCCAACATTCAAACTTTCACCTGCAATGTTATCTTAGAAAAATGGTATGAAAAAGTGTATTTCCCATCTGCCTTGGAATCTAACCTATGCATGATTCAGAGCACAAAGGGTTTTGGAGGTCCCCTAAATTACAGAACCACAGAATAACCTGAGCTGGGCGGGACCCACAAGGATCATCGAGACCAGCCCCTGGCCCTGCACAGGACACCCCCAAAAGTCACACCACGTACCTGACAGCACTGTCCAAACACATCTTGAGCTCTGTCAGGCTGGAGCTGTGACCGCTTCCCTGGGGAACCTGTTCCAATGCCCAAACACCCTCTGGGGCAAGAATCTTTTTCTAATATTTAAAACTAAACCTCCTCTGACACAAGTTCAGGCTGTTCCCTTGGGTCTTGTCACTGTTCACCACAGAGCAGAGATCAGTGCCTACCCTTTCTCTTTCCATCACAAGGAAGTTGCAGACTGGAGTGAGGTCTCCTGTCAGGCTCCACTTCTCCAGGATGAACTGACCAAGTGACCTTGGCCACTTCTCCGCTCTTATGATGACAAGATGTCTAAATAAATGCTTGTATTTAGATGTGAATACTCTTGAGCCTAGAACAGCCACATACTGAGCCAAACCGATCCAGCAGCACTTATGGGTTGAGGTGGTCTGTTACTTGCTGATGAGTGCACCCCTATTCACAGAGGCCTTTCAGTGCTGCTCTGCTAAAGACTTTCTGAAAACAAGGACTTAATGCAATTCATGGTGTTCGAACACCCCAGTTCCCAGGATGGAAAGCAGAAAATGCTCAGTGTAATTGAAATTCAGTGTCCACAGGAATGAAAGGGGGAAACACTATAGTATGTGCCAAAAAATAAACATGAAAGGAGACTATATTGAAAATGTGTAGAACTATGCACTTTTTCATATCTGTATCCAATCTTTTCCTGCTCAGTGGTTTGTCCAGGCCAGAAAAGTATTCCAAAACCATTTTAGAAAATGGCTTGCTGTCATGGGGTAACCACAACACTTGCTTAAATATTAAGGGTCAAGCAAAAAGTAACGGTTTTGACTTATTCTCTGAGGTTCCCTTGGGTGCCACAGATTTGTGCCTCATCTCAGGGACCACATATGTCACAATTGTGTGAGTTTGTTATGCTGGCTCTGTCACACAGTCTGGTCTTAAATAAACCCCATTAGAGAAGGAGAAAGTCTGAATGTAGGTGAAGTACCTATACCCAGTGTAAGGGTGGGAATTGCCATACCCTGATTTTGTAAAGCAGTATCTAATTTACTTTGAAACAGAAATAAACCTTTAATTTAATATACAGGTATTTAACATAAATTTGCATTTGCACCCTCACTGCACATAATTTCTCACTGCAGGCAGTAAAAGGCAAGCCTTTATAATTCAAAAATGATCACACTGATGACAAAGTAGTCAAATGTGTGCAAACACATTGACTAGTAGATTTTTTTCTTATTATTATTTCTCTCTTTGTTAAACAGCCTTATAAATGTTGTTAGAGCTATAATGGCAGTTCACACGGTTCCCTGAGCAGCTTATAATTCTGCATCACTGCTTCCCCAGGTTTCTGTATTGCGATTACTTTCAAATTATACTTAAATCATTGCCATCTCCATCGAATTCTCAGAAAGTGATTTAGCAGTTCTTAAATTCTATTGAGAACTCTCCACTCTACAGCCACAGATCAGCATTGTTGCCTGAACAAGTAAACTCGATGCGTACGTGTCTAATCCTGTCCTCTGAAGTGTCTGATTTACAATGTGACTAATTGCATTTTTAGATTCCCAACACTCCTGGCACCAGTTTCTGCTATTCCACAAAAGGAGCCAGTTTCATAATTACTCTGTATCAACCCCATTGTTGGGAAATCAAATTCTCAGCGAACTTTGCGGATAGCACACTCTGTCAAGGCACTCTTGTTGAAATTGCTGCCAGCATGATGTCTTTCACTGTTAGTTGTTCCTTGATGGAATTTAATAAATATTCATTGGCAGAGTGCAGTGTAATTGATTCAGTCACTTTCATTTTTATCAGCTCTGCAGGATGCCACAGCCTCTGCAGAAAATCTCCAAGATTTGCCAAAGGTTGACAGTAAGAAGCTTTGGAGATTCACTTGGTGAAGAGAAGGGAGGGGAAGAGTATCTCTTATCGCCTTGTCTAATATTCACTGTCAGGAGAAAAAAAGCTATATGGCTCTTCGGGTGAGCAATGTCCCTTATATAACACACTTTAAAAATTCATAAATTCATACAGAGTAATATTACATGAGATGTTATGATATCAAAAAGGTTTATGATTAGAGAATATCAATTTATCATTAAAACAGTGCTTTCCCATAAAATGAAGATACTTTAAATTAATATTTATTTATATTCATCATAGCGAAGATTTCCCATTACTCATAAACAGTGCTTTGCATTTACTTTCAGCAGTCCCCAGAGCAGACACTACAAGCTGAATTCCTTGCAACTCTTCATAAAGGTTTTTCACTCCCCCCCATATTACCACACCTACACTGTGGTACACTGCAATTCTGTGTTTAAGCAAATATCACATTTCTGCAATCCTGTTCATGTCTTAGGATTTTTAGCATCACTGTTAATAGAATTAGGCCATGTACACCAGCTTTTCTGAAGAATGGGTCAGTGTTGAATTTCCTTCTAATACATTCTCATTAAAAAGCTGTGAAACTGAAATATGTATTAATATCAAAATGCAATAGATACCGAACATGTTTTCTGTATAAAACAACATTTTCCTGCCAACAGTAGAGGCTACATACTTGTTGCCTCCTAAAATGGGACTTTGCATTTCATTTTATTGTTTCTTTCAGTTGCCTTTCAAAAATGCTTCATTTTCAGAGTTCATTTGGGTAACAGCCCCACTGCCTGAATCCAACTGGCCTGTTAGCATAACCATCACCAGGCTGATTTTCCATATAGTTTTTTAAGAAATCTCTTAGTAGCACAAGAAAGAAGTACATAGTGCCAGGCTCTGTACCTACCAGAATGTTCTTTTGTAAGCATATAGTTTAAAAAAATATATACTATAGATACTATAGATTCAACTATAGATACTATAGATTCAACTGCTTGTATACACTGATGCAAAAATAACCTAATGACACTGATAAAGTGAGTTGCAGAGGTATTAAAAACAGCCATGCTGGCCAACTCAGGCACTGATTAATTTGTTTCTTTTTGGTATCTGCTATGTCACATTTACTTCCATAATTAATCACTGTCAAACAAAGCAAAAGATCTAAAAAACTTTTTTCTCCCCTTCTTTCCTTTTTTTAATGTGCACTTACTGGAATGCCGGTGAAGGTAACTGGAGGCGACTGCCAAGAGATGCTAAAGCTACTGCCATTGGGAGTGAATTTTGCTGACCCTGGAATGTTCACTGGAGGAGTGGCCTGTGTGAAAAGAAAGTATTATTCCAGCAAGAAGAACCATTCTTCTTCCAAAGCATTTCAAAGGATCTTTCATTCCTTGAAATGGTAAATCTGTGAGAGATTTTGTAAGGTATAAAAAACTCCATGGTGACAAGCATTTTACCCTTGTGAGAAGGATAATCATGGATAAGCTAGTAAGGAAGGGACAGAGTTATATATATACCCTACTGTCCCTAAACTTTGTTTAGAGAAAGATGGCTGCTCTCAAAAGATTCCATAGAAAACCCGTAAGAGCTAGATATGTTAAAAAAATAAAATAAAACATCACATACAAGTAACTTTTAAAATAATGCCAGCAAGAAGCAAAAACTACTTCACAGATGATCACCTGTTCCACAGTGATAAACAAGGCCATATTAAACTCATAGCAGTTGTTTTACACAATTTTAATGTGGATATCAAGGCTTCTTGGATTGAAGTGATTAACAGTAAGTGCTGGCCATTTCTCATTTATCAGACAAATGTTAAGAGTCATCCCAATTAAAACAGTTTTTCCTATTAAAAACAAGGAGCTGTAAATCATCCTTTTGATTCAAAACACAGCTGTTGAAACACTAAACTAAAGCAAGCATTTGAAGGACTCCTGGGCTCCTTGAATTCCTAGGTTCTTCCTATCCGGGCTGTAATATGCAGTGGTGCCTTGGGGTACAAGTACCATAACCTGAGCTTAGACTGTTGAGCACTTTTCATCTTGTGCCTTTCCTTTGGTTTTCTCACTAGGTTATGAGCGAGCCTCTTTTTGAATCCCATTTGATTTTCAGAATCATGAAATTCATAGTTGTGTAGCTACCCTGCCTAGCAGGAGTGTGAACAGCCAGCATGAACAAAGGTTCATTTTGACCCTTGAATTTCAAGTTGTCACCACAGCAAAAAACAACCCTCTCTGGTTTAAACTTACAAAGAATTTACTAAAATGAGTTTTCATTCCTGCCTTTCAGTTGACTGTACACTCATTTAAGCAGTGATTGTGTTGGGGCTGCTGAAATTGTCTCACTCCTTCAGGAAGAGAGTACTTCCTTGAGCCACCAGGCAGAGAGGACTTATGACAAATTACAACCTGATAGTCCCCATTAAAGATAATTTTCCAAGTAAACAAGGGCTGAAGCAATCCCCTAGAGCTTTCCAGAAAAAGGAAGGTGAGACCACCAGATGCCTCTGTGTATGGCAGCAATGCTCTGTGGGCTGCCAAGCTGCTGACAGTTCCAAGAGAATCCACACAGACATGCAGAGCAAACATCCACTGAGCTCCATAAAATATAAAAACCTCTCTGAAAGGCATCAAGAACAATTTGACAACATCAGTGGTACCAGTAGTTCTTCATCATAACCCTGTTCAAATGGGAAGGAGTGAATGACCACAGAGCTCCAGACAGCAAGAACTGGAGAGAGCTGGATGAGCAGCAAGGCAGCACTGCCTCTGCTCAGCATCCCACAATGAGGGCAGCTCAAACCAGCAGCTCAGGGTCAGCATAGCAACTTGCTCAGGTATTTGAATAAGACCTGGAAGGGAAATCCTAGGTGCTAAAAGAGCCTGCCTGTAGCTAAATTTAACAGGTACAAGCAATAGTTTTATAAAGAAACATGAAGTTTAAAATTGATGCAATTTGCAGTTGTTTAAAATACCATAGTGCTCAATTCCTTTTTCTCAGTGCCTATTTACCTCAGACATGATCATACTTAGTAAATCACCTTGTTCACTTGTTTCCCAGATGTGCACAGTCAGCTTTTCCAGGCTAACATTTCAGTCAATCTCCTCCATAAGGTAAGGGACTTTAACATTACAACCAACTGAAAAATTTCTATATCCCAGCTCCAATTTTCTTAGAGACCAAGATTATTATTGCCAATTATTCAATTGCCAATCAAAATATATAAATGAATACTTTGTATTTATTTATTTGTGCCAACATTACCCTTATATCTGAAACAGGCCAAAATAATCCTCTTCCCCTCTCATGCTTGTCCTTTCACTGTCTTCCCAGGCAGCAATTCCATCCTCTTCTTGTTCCTTGCTCTGCCTGAGGTATCAGTCCTGGGGCTGGAGAGGCCATCCATGTCCTCTCTGACCTCTTTCTATTTCTTCTGGTTGGAGCCCATCACACCCAGTTTGGCTGACCAGAACTATAGCTCAGGATTTCAGCTGAAGTTATATGGGGTTCTTATAGAATGGCATTAAAAACCTCTGTCTCTCCTAGATATTTCTTTTCCAACAGAGCTGACAACTATTTTTTTCCCCTTCACAGCTCTGTTGTTGCTGGCTCATGGTCATTCTGTGCTTGATTAACGAACATAGGTTTCCTTCTTACATAATTTTCTAACTACCCTAGTTTATAGCAGAAAAATCTCATTATTTCTTTAGATTCAGGACTTTGCATGTTCTGACATTAAACTGCATCCAAAACCTATTATTCTTAAGACCACCCAGTCATGTAAGCCTGATCTATAACTCCCTTATTGCTGATGCTTCCCAAATCTGTTATCAGTGAAGTTTATTATAGTATTTGTATGTTACCAAAATGATTTAATGAAAGTGAGATCAGGGCCAAGAACATCTTTTCATTTTACTCCACTAATGACATCCAAAGGCCCTTTCAAAATAACTCAGTGCTGTTCTCTGTGACTTTCCAGCTCCTTGTCCTACAGAAAATGTCTCTCTAGCTTAACAAATACTGCCTATATGTTTTAAGATCAAATGCTCTCCTTGAATCCAGAGGGATTTGTTCTTTTGCTTCCTATATTGTTCTAGCATCATCTTTTTCCGGGGTTCCCCCAATGCCATTTGCCTCAACTGCTGTACTTTCCAGAATTTCTTCAATTATTCTTCTAAATCATTCCTCACCCATAGGACTGCGTCAGGGAAGAGCATCAGGACTTTCCTCACTTTCCTCATATCTTTCTCAGTGTATTTGATGATTTTCAGTCATAGAGGAAATGGCAATTACCACATCTCTTCTTATGACCACGCTTTGGGTTCTGTATTCCACACCCCCCCCCCCCTTTTTTTTTTAACAGGAATCCTGTGATTAACAATATTCAGCCTCCCTTACCCCAATTCCTTGAGCTGCTCCCAATGAAGTAATCTCCACTTTCTCTCTGGCTAGTGACATCTCAATCTCCACCCTGCCTCCTGCTCCTTCTTTCAGGGCTGAAGTGGTCTTGGCAGAGGATGCCACTGACCTTCTCTACTGAAGCTGCTTCCTTTGCCAGGGCAGCCTGAATGCTTGAGCAGGGACCTTGCCTCCTGCTTCCAATTAGCAAGCTGTGAACAGTGTGGACTCTGTCACTCCTCACTGATGAAATTAAGCATTGAAACCAGAGCAACCTGAAAAGCCCACGGGGCTCAGGCATTTGTAGTCTTGTATCATGGAATACATCAATTCAAATCCAATTCAAGGACTTTAAACACTTGAACTGGGATTTCCTGAGGCAAGTGCTTTACTCAGAGGCTGCTTGTAAAAAAGGGTTGAGAGGGTCTCTGAACAGCAGGGCAGACTCTCATGACTGCAAATCCCAAATGAAGCAAAACTTGTCACCAGCCTAGACTTGTTGCCTCACTCTCTGAGGCAGCCTTAAGCTACACTGAGAAGCAAGTTTTTCTCCTATGGTTTCATCAGTCCCCAGGTTGGCATGCTACCTGATGCAGCTTCCACCTGCAATACCAAGCTTCCACCCATGCTTTTCAACATGCACAAAAGTCTAAAACAAGCCTGTGAATTCTCTATAGCTCCCTCTGACCTTTTAGTAGGTGTGCTCCAAACACACCACAGAAGTTTTATCTGAACAATGCCGTATATGATAGTTATTGCACCTGATAAAATTAACAGAGTTCAGTTCTCCAGCGCATAGGCAGGTCAAGGACCACACGACTTAATTTCTCTTATGGTATCCAGACCAAAACATGTCAAGTTTTAGTTCAGTTTTATTATTAATGCTTTCTGCTGAAACTTAGCAGGAATGTTTTACGACAGCACTTTCTGCCATTTGAAAAGCATCACCTCCAAAATTAGGAAGATCCCATATTTGTTTTTTCATTCGTCCTGTTCTACTTCATAACTACAACCTGACATCTCACACTGTACAAAAAGAGGAAATGAATTGTTGTTGGCATTCTTTGGGTACTTGTTGACACTTCAAGCAGAGCTTGTACTTGTTCAATAAAAACAGAACTGAAAAGAACACTTTGGGAGGGATTCAGCTGACTGGATGGGAAATTTTACAATGCAGGTAACCCCACCTAAGCACATCACCTTGGGTTCTCCTTACGGTCAGTGAAAATTGAATTGATGTAGGCAGTGAGATACACAGATCAACTCTTCTCAACCTGAAATACGCATCTATGTGTGGCTGGATAAATAGCACCCCAAAACCCACTGCCTGTGGCGGGCACATAAACAAATGAAAAAACAATAAGCTCAGAAGACTACATCTCAATTTAAATAATAGAAATGCCTTTGAATGCTCTGAAAACCTTTCAGCCCATTAAAACCCAAACATTGTGATGTGACATTTTTTTACACATTAGTGACATTAGTGCAATCACTGGAGCTAATACCACTGGTATTACCTGGTAAGCATGGTCCGTGTGTACGAGGTAGAGGTTGGTAGGAGCTGAGCGGCTCAGAGGTGTCATCAATTTAGTCTCGGTTTTGGCACAGGAAGTTTCAGGACGGATTGTGTCTTGGGTGGGAAAGGAAGGAGGAGATGCTAAAGATGGAGAGACTGGGGAAAGACTGCTTAAGCCATCAGCTACTGAGTCTGTGTTGAGCCTGATTTCTGTATAGTAAAAATCCTCCTCTCCATCACTGTAGTCTGACTCTCCTACACGTCTGCATCAAAAGAAAAAAGTAAGAATTGATTGAAAGCAAGAACCCTGAGGTAAATTTTAAGTTCTAGATGCATGAGTGAATATATTCATATTGTCGATAAATTAACATTTGCAGTTTCAACCCTCCCTACTTTATCTGCATTCTGACTGCAGGTAATCTGAAGGGAAAAGGAGTAGCAGTTACTTTTTTCCCCTCTCTGTGTTATTTTTGACAAATTGTCTCACCTTGGAGTAGATCTTTGACTCCTTCAGATCAAGTATCAGCTTCTCATTTGTATCTATTGTAAAGTTAACAAGAATCCCAATGCACTATGTCTTCAAAAGTCATAGCAATGATAAGAGACACAGGCAAAATATACTTCACTCATGTTACAGCAAACAATACACAATCTTATCAGTAGTTACTTAATTATGCCACATATGGTTGCCATTCACAGTAACTTTCTGTAATGGAAGAATTTGCTAGAAAACAGTCTCACCATGCAACTCAGATACAGCACTCATTTGGGCTGGCTTGCCATGGCCAGGAGTTTCTAGTCCCACTCTCCAGAAGCAGACTTATTGAAGGAAGGCATGAAGGAGGTTTAATTGCCTTGAAGTTTCATCTGATATGCATTTGAGCACAAGGGCTAACAGTGAAGCAACCCAGTCAAAGCAGTAGCTCAAAGTAGACTACATGTTGTCTTGAAGTCCAAACCAGAACTTGTTGAGAGAACATAGGTCCAGCAGGTTTGAAAGGCTCTACTGGAAGTACCATCCATCAGAATGCAGGCAGTCACTGACCGCAAGTACTCTTTCCAGAAAACTCTAACTCCAGCAAATTCCAGAAAGGTTTTGCTATTTACTTCTCCCTCTCCCACACCACAAAGAGGATGTCCCCATAATATAAAGCACAAATCAACACTCCTAACTGCATTTTGAGAGAGATTTTCTCCGTTTCACACAGCCTTACTCTTAAGCCCAATGGTAACTGCAGACCTCTTCAAGACCATCCTGAGCTCCAGATCTTTGCAGCTGGTGAGAAACTGTAATGTGTGTCACTCATTTCTCTTCAGTTTTGTTTCTTTATTTCTCTCTCTTTCTCTCTCTCTCTCTCTCCCCTTTCCTTAGAAGTATTAGAGTCATTATTAGTTATTATTATAATCAGTGTTTTATTTTGTTTAAGCCATTTAACTGTTCTTGTCTCAACCCTCAACTCAAGAGGTTTACTCTTTATTCCTTTGATTCTTCCACAGAAGGAAGGGGATAGTGAGTGAACAGCTGTGTTATACTTAGCTGTGGTCTGGGTTAAACCATGACAACATGCAGCTCAGTTTCCTTTTATTTTTAGGTTTCTTATGTGGTTTGTGGTTTTGGTGGGTTTTTTTGCTTTTTTTTTTTTTTTTTTTCATTAATTCAACTCAGAACTGGCACAAGCACCTGACCTGATGTGAAACAAAACTGAAAAGTATTCATGTAAGACCCTGAACCTGTCTACCACAGAGTGCCATCCCAGATGTGATGTGTAGACAGCACATATGACATAATGGCACTGAGCAGTGCAGCTGACAGGGAAGTGCAGTGTGACCTCGAGCTCTATTTGACCTTCTAGCAAAGTTGACAGAATTTCAGGAAAGAAAGTGCCTAGCTGTTGGAATAAGTGCTCATTCACCTTGATGCACTATTCTGCAATTTCCTCAGAAACACAGGAATATGAGAGAGAAGCCAAGGGCAATCCAGTTCATCTCTCCAGCCAAGGGCAATTGCTCCTCTTCTAGACCAAATCCTTTAGACTCCCAAAAAGACTGCGCTCTTACCCAAGGTGAATGGTCCGTATGTGTTTCTGAATCCCTGCAGCTGTGCTCAGTACCTTTCCACAGTTCTTCCACAGGCATTTGAACATCACCTTCATGGAGTTCTGAAAATTATGAGTAAAGCAACATTAGTTGTATGGAAGTTGTAGGGATATTAGGAAAAATTTATTCCCTGGAATGGTTGTTATGCACTGGAACAGGTTGCTCAGGGAAATGGCTGAGTCACCAGCCCTGGAGGTATTTAAAAGACTTGTAGATGTGTTGCCTGGGGACATTGTTTAGTGCTGGACTTGGTAGTGATGGGTTAAGGGCTGAGAATTTCTGTGACTCTGTAATTCTATGAAGGTAGAAAAAAATCCCAGACTACCCAAACCAGATAAACAGCTACAAAACAGTGTCAAGGTTCAGAGCCTTTGACTCCAAATTCACATTGTTCTAATAGTCTTTTGTGGAGTGTGTCACCCTACTGAATTCAAGAGAACCCAGTGAAAAGCTGCAAGAGCAGCTTGTGACAAAAATTTACCTCTCTCTGTTCATTGGCAGCACTCTTCCACTTTAAAGTTTCAGTTCCTCTACTCAGGGAGGTGGATGATATAAAAACTTCCACTTCTTTCAAAAAAAACCCTGGTGAGGACTTCTCACTTAATCCAAGGCACCTTCTTAAATGAAGATCTTTCCAAAGCAATCTCTTATGAATGTTTCTGCTCTGGATATTTGCAGCACAAAAATATATTGTGCCAGCAAAACATAGCTTCTGTTATGTCAATATTTGCCATGACCTGGCACAAACTGCTTTTGTTTCACTCAGAAGCTGCTGTGGACCTTACTAAGAAAAGAAGTTACCTGCCTGTGTGCAATATTTAAAAAAAATACAGGTAGAATCTCATTTAAATATCCTTTTTATATTCTTAATATAACTTAATATGACTCCATTGATCCCCACTGACTTATCATTAATTTAGAGCACAGCCAACAAGGCTATCACAAGGCTAGTCTTCAACATGTTGAAGACTCTGAAGAAAAGTAGTCTTAAAACAATACAGATGTTACAAACTCTAGAGATATTTAGAAGTTAATTTTACCCCAAAATGGAAATGATTTTGTACAGTTTAAATAAAAAAAAAGAATTCTAAATAGCTTGTAATTCTCAAAAATATTTTCTTCTATTATTACAGAACATATTATTAACATGAGGAAGAACATCAAAATACTGTATTATTATTCTGTAATTTTATTTACATATAAGAATAAATTAATATATTCATATAAAACTTATTTTTTTTTAAAAAAGGGTGGGGTGGAAACAAGCACATCCTTAGGGTTAAGTACATTTCACTGTGCCTTGAACAAAAGCTGACTTGGTGCTCTCTTCAATTTGGGCACCTTGGAATGCATGACAGTAGATAGCTTCAGCATTTACTAGCAAGATAATGATTAGAATATAACTCTAAAAAAAAAAACCACAGCTGATGGGCTTTTCAAAATACAAGTTGATTGTAGTATCATGTTCTCATAGCTCCCTGCAGTCTAACATCTCCTGTTTTGAAGTTTGAATGCTTAGGGCTTTGAGATTTGAGGTACCCGATCATACTTGTTGTATGAAAAACTTCTACTTTGGAATAAATTGCACATAAATTGCTTATTTTTTTATTTGATAATACAACTATCAGTTAAATAGATACAGAACTCTTTTTCTTTTCTCATATTCAATATAATCTAGAAATTCTGATTCATACTTTTTTTACTTCCATAATATAATACTAAATACTATTATCAGCTCAAAAACACACAACCAACCACCACCTGTGTCAACAAGATGAAGGCCATGTTTATAACTGACATCCTAGGAATTCCAATATGACATCATAAACACCACATGCATCTTTATGAACACAGAATGGTTTAACATCCATCCCCAGTTTGATGGGAAAATCAGTCTCCTAGCTCCACTGTGGTTTTGGATTTATTGTCAGTGGTTTGCAGAGTTTGCAAAACCCAAAGTACTTTTAACATAATCAGGTGAAAGCTCACTCAGTAGAAATAGAGAACATGCTTACATTTCCTCCATTTCCTTTGCAAAAAACACCTATTCAGGCTTAATGTTTTACTTAAGAAAATAATGGAACATAAATGGTTTTGTGCAGAATAACTACCTTAGAGGAAACTTTTAAGCAAATAGTAAGGCTATCAATCACTCTATTTCCAGATTTACTCCTTCTGACTTTTGCAGCCCTGAAGAATAAATGGCCTGAATATTTTTGTTTCAGCTTCTAAAGATGCTAACTTGTACTCAGATCAAGTACGATGCTGGAGCCAGAATAAGAAAAAAACCTGCAGGAAAGTAAGTTAATTTTTAAAACCAAGTTTGGCATGGAATATTACTGTTTATCTAAACAAAACATTTGCCATACAAAGCAAAATCCCTGTGAACCAGAAGAGATAGTGTAATAGACCTATGGTGGGTACATAAATAGAAATATTTGAATGCAACTTAGAAAACAATAAAGACAGCAGCTGCAAACCCATCTGTCTCATCACAGCTGAACAGTAAGAGTGGTGCTAATAAGGTGAAGGTTAACTGAGAAGTAAAAGGCAAACCAAGACACTTCTGCACTCCTATTCCTCCTGTCCCACACACCCCCAAGTTGTCTCTGTTAAGTGCAACGCTCAGCTCCAGTTTCTAATTGATTATAACAAAGGTGTCCTCCAAAATAATTTTTCCTTCTTAGCAAGATGCACAAAGATTTTCACCCCTTTCCCATGAACAAGGGAAGAACCGCATGGGTCAGCAAATAAGCAGCTTCTGGAGCAAGATGATAAATCTGAACGGGTTTAAACAATCATTAAAACTTCTTCCTGCTGGTGATGAATCAATTAACTGTCTCAGACTGAGCCAGAAACAAAATCACTAAGGGAATAAATTCTCTGATTTTAATTCTTACAAAAAGCCTTTTTACATCTTGCTATGTAAAATCTGTCCTGTTGCGTTGGGAGGGAAGGAGACTTGGACTAGTGCCATCTCTTTGTTTTCTTTCCTTACAGAGAAGCTTGCTGGCTAGCAATGGTGCTTTTTTGGGGTTAGTTTTGGACCTTTTTTTTTAGTGTCATGTTTTATTTAGACTCTTTTGTACTCCAACTGAGGATAAATTTGGCTAATGCTAATACTATATCAAAAGCCATCCAGTTTGAGCTCTCTCTCTCCTTTTTGCACTCCATATGTTTGTGCAGAGAAACCTTCACAGTATTAAGGTATCTGACATGCTGTCAGACAAACAGCACTTTCAGGGAACAAGAAGTATTAAGGCCATAGTCAGTTTTTGTGATGACATGTAAAGGCTGCCTGTTGCATCCTGCACACAGAGAATTTGTCAAAGTAGGACAGAAATCCCTTGAATGGCCAGAGGCAACACCTTCTGGAAACCACTCTAGTGTTTTCTGAGCAGGAGGCTCTGCAGCACCTCACCATCTGGCAGGAAATATGTGGCGCTGATGGCAGCATGTGTGTGCAGGAGGTGACCACGTTGAATGAGACACAGTGACTGTGTTAAATGGATGACAAGGAAGGATACACAAGCAGAGGTATTTGGGTGACCTGTTCCTTTCTCGCAACAAAACCAGCCTACCAACATCCTATCTACCCGTGGGTATGGACATTTCACACGAGGCTAACCTTTCTCTTCCTAGGAATGGGTTCATCGAAGAGAAGGTTGCTTGTTTCACCTTCATCAATACCATCATCTGGCTGGGAAGGTGTCCGAAAAGCTTTGAAGCTATCAGCTGACAGAGGTGGAGATGGGGTGGATGGGTTGGACTGGTCACTGGGAGCGTTCCAGCTCCAGTATCCACTGCTGCTGGTACTAGAAGGCACAAATCCTCCTTCTTTCCAAGATCCATTCAGGGATTCTGTCAAGAACAAGAAAAACTATTATTACAACAGTATCATTGTGATAGGGCTTAGGAGCTCTTTTTTCTAAGGTTTAGATGCCATGTTGATAATTAACCGCACATTCAGTAAAGGAAAGTGAAAGCATTGGATGTAGAGAGGACAACCATATCTAACCCACTGTACACAAATTACGTGTTCCACACTTGATTTTCATTTGATTTAAAGTAAACAAGCAAACAAACAAACAAAAGCAGCAAAACAGTTTTAAGAAACATTGCATTTGAAAAGATAACCTGTTCTGAAGCATAAACAGCAATAAACTGTCATATATTGCATGTGTGATTTAAGGAAAAACATTTAAATTGACCTTTAAAGGTCCTTGCAAATGCAAACTATTTTATGATTCTAAATATATCCTCAACTTTCAACAGGAACACACAACTCTGGTGTGGTACCAAAGCAAGCTCCAAGCCTCTGTATGGCCAGCAGGAGATCCACTGGGAGGGGACATACACTCTGAGCCCCAGAACACTAAGCAGATCCACAAAAGCATGACATTCTTCCCAGAGTAAAACACCAAAGAAAACCATAGTTACACTCTGTTTTCTTAAAATCTCTCAATACAAACACCTCTGCCTAATCTGAATCTCTGCATGAGGTGGTATGTATCCCTTGGGAAATACAGGCATCTGGTTTCAGAAGTGGAACACACAGACACTGGATCACCTCCACACCTACTCACTGGAGGAACTGCCACCTCAGTGGTGCAGCTCTCCTGACATTACATGGTAAGAAGACATTTGAACCCACAGCTTATACTCTGCAGCACCATGGGTGGGAGTAACAGCACTGCGTGTGCAGTCTGAGGCACAGCTTGAGCCATGCTTCACATGCAGAGCTCCCCAGGCATTAGACACCCATCCCTAAAGGGCTCCTGGCAGCAGGGGAGTATGTAGGTCATGAGCTCAGCAAAGGCATGGCCCAAGCACATCCAGGGTGCAGCCACAGGCAGCTCTGCCAGAACCCTCAAGGTCTCACAGGGCTTGGGCAAATGCGCAGGAACAGTTTAGGTGAGGCTTCTCCCTAAATCAGACATCGGAAGCTTTTCCCAATGACATTGTAGGTCCTGAGTATTGTGCAATACCTGACTTTGGAGGTGGCAAGCAAATAACATCTTATCTGTTCATGAATCAATATTTAAGTGTGAGACAAGTCCTTTCAAGCCAGTGCCTGTCTTTAAAAGATCTGCAGAAGTCACTCCTTCATTCCTTCTCAATTTCTTACAGATAAACTTAACTACTGATATTGGCAAGAAAGTGAGCTATCAAAAGCTTACCCCCAAACCAATGAATTTTTGGTTTTTTTTCTCCTAATTCAGTTGGTTTTGGACAAAATCCTTAATGACTAACAACAGCTGCTCAAAAAATCCAGAACACAGTGCCCCCTTGAGTAGGCAGCAGTACTGATTTACTGATCAGAACCACACAGTGCAAATGGAATTGATCCTCTCCCTCCACTCCTTCCACTTCCTCTTTGGAAAAGGACATACATACACATTTCTGGTAGCTCCTAAGTTAACATATGAGAATGTCATCTCTTATCTCATGATTACAACCTTCATGTGACTGTAATGAAGGTGGGTTTTGTTTCTCTGAAATATTTGGTATTTCAGCCTTGTGCCAAAGCCAAAAAATACATCTGGGATCAACTTGTGACCTTAGCACAGCTAAAAGTTTCCATGTCTTCAGAAAAACAAAGGAAAGCTCTTTCAATTACTACTTTCTGACTCAGTTATGGTGGTACTTTGTATTCTCAGTGCTTACAGCTTCTCCTTACCTTGCTGAGAAAGAGATGTAAATCAAGAATATTTTTAAAGTAGCATGGAAAAGACTGAATGAGGTTGACAATAGGAAGAAACCAAACACTGGTTCTCATTCATACTAACAAATCTGTCAATGTAAAGAAGTTTAATATATAAATAAATGCAACTTACTCTTATTTTGGGGCTCTTTTCACATTGCTGGAGTTGTGTGAAAGAGAACCAGACCAAATATTATTCAGTTGCAGAGAAACAAGAGCCAAACTCTGATCCAGTTCACATGGGTGATCATTCCCAGGAATTCCAGCACGGATCTGACTTTAATATTAACGTTAATGTTATTTTTTTTTTTTTTCTACGCAAAATTCCATTTGTTTTAACAAATGGTCCTTTAATTATACTGCTACTTATTGCCCTTTTTTGGAAAAGCATGTAGAAAAAAACTAATCACTAATACATTTGTTGCTTGTATTACTAGGATCAGAGCCAAGTCTTGCAACACCAAAAAAAGCTTTAAATTATTAAGTCTGTAGACTTCTATTTAAGTCTTTAGTAAGGCTTGACTAAGGCAAAACGAAGATATTCAGGGAGAAGGTGCCCAAAACCAGTTTCAAAATCTTGCCTGTGACTACTGAAAACACGTGAATTACTTTTTCAGGCTAGTCTTCCCAGATTTTGGGAAACAAGCCGACAAGCTATATGAAGAAATATCAAAGAGCACTCAGTCTATGCTAAGAAATATCAAAGGCAGCTAAACAGCCACCATTTGCCTATTAGCAATACAAAAGTCTTGTTTGGAAGATCTTTCCAATCGACAGCTGCAGCTAACGTTAGTGCGCTACTGCTCCTGGCAAGTGTCACCTGCTCAGACTGTCTAAGGTGGCAGATACTGCTTCGCCCCCAGCAGAGCAGCTCCCCAGGACAGGGATGCAGCAGGGGACACATATGTGCCTTGGCCACACCAAATCCCTGCCTGCCACATCAAGCACAGATCCATTTTCAGCTGTATTTCTGTCTGTGAGCTGAGCAGCTGGAAAGCAGGTGTGCTTTTACCCTTCTGCTGACCTTTCCCAGGGGCTGGCAACATCCTGTCCTGAAGCGTGACAGTCACCAGGGATGTCACTGCCTGAGGTTTCCCAGGGCTCCTCAGAGCAGTGGCACTCCAATAAACACTTCTGGCTTTCAACACTAGAAAGCGCACGAACAAAGGTCATGGGCATTCATGGCCAGAATTCCAACTAAATGGATAGAACTTACATTTCCTGAAAATAAATGGAAAACCCACAGCACTGATATTTGCTATGAATCCCTTTAACTTTTTACAGTGGATCATGCCTGTTCCCATGAAGAAAAGCAAGTATTCTTCAATCTTCCAATTAATGATAGTAGGAGAGCACCTAGTGTTTTTTTAGCAGTTACAAGTGAGTAAGAAAAGTCTGTCATACAAACAATGCTGAGGTGCCCTAAAAAGGGTGTCCTAATTTAAATTATTCCTTAAAATAAAACACTCCTAAAAATTTATTTTAACTCCAGCCAATCTTTCATAGATCAACTGTATTTCATTAGCAATCTCTTCATTACCTGAAACTTTTTATACTTATTTTTATTTGTGTGTCTTCTGCTATACCATGAATGAAGTAGTCTTTAAACGGATTATGGGTTTGATGAAAGATCATCAGAGAGTTACACACAGCACAGGAATTGGAGGTGTAGAGAGAAGCAGATCTCTTGCTGTATGGATTGTTACTGCAGGGCCTCTCAGCCAAGGGCTGTGATCTAGAAGTTCTTTGCATTATTGTGGTTTTGGGTAAAATCTGATCTCATTTCCATGGAGTAGATGACAACAACTAACTACTGCTATCATGTTTCCTGGATAAGGCGCTCAGAACACGATTTAGAGGTGAACATGGTGGTGGTGCCAGCTTGATGGTTGGACTTGGTGATCTTAGAGGTCTTTCCCAATCCTAACTGTTCTACAATTCTAGGACATTAGGTATGCAAATGCAAACAAGCTCTTTGAAATATTAATGGTTTCAGTGAGGTCAAGAGACTTTCTGAAGTGCTCATATCCCATTTATGGAATGGGCATCTGGAGCAAAACTCAGTATGATCCCAAACATACCAGAAGACAGCCACTCACTGTTTGTTCTCCACCATGGCCACAATTCCTGGAAACAAGTCCCCCAATAAAGGAGCCTGGCACCCCTTCCCACAGCCCCTGGCTCCAAAGGCTTACCGTTGGGTCGGACAGGAGGGCTGCGGACCAAAGGGCTGGTGGATAAACTGGTGAGTACCATGGCTGCTGTTACTTTATCCATGTCCAGTTCTTCCGAAGATTTCCTGAAACACAGTGAGTGGGAGGCAGGAAACACATCAACATTCAAATATTGGATTTTTTTAGTGTTTTTGTTTTGTTTTGTTTTTTTGGGTTTTTTTTGTGGTTTTTTTTTAATACCAGCCCAAATCCTAAGCCAGTACATTAACCAAAACAAGCTGCTGCACAGAGTTCTCCAAGCATTAGTTTTCTGGCAACCTGAGCATATCAAAAGGCTTCTACAAGCAAACTAACTCAGTGTAAATAGAAGTGGGAAAACAGAATACATCTTTGTATAAAATTTTCAGGATTACTGTGACTCTCTATAACTTTGACTTTGTTCCTTTTTATTTTTAGAATTTCAGCTACTCATATTCTTAGAGCTAAATATGCTCTTAAGGTGGTTTTCTTTTTCTTGGATGAAGACATAGAGATGCAAAATTACTGGCAACATTAACAACATACATTAGTCTCTGTAGGGTAAAGAAAAACTGTGAACTGGAACTAAGGGATGTCAATTCATTGCTTCTGCTTAACACTATTAACACTCCCATATTCTCCAAAAGACTGATCATAATTTTTTCCCATATTTTTGGTAAGATTAAAAACCAAATATTTTAAATAATTAGGAAACTGGCATAAAAACAATTCAGGAGGCACAGAAGGGTAGGGGAGAGAAAGGGAGAGAGTGAGAGAGAAGGTTATTTTGTGGGTGTGATGGGTGTCTGAACCAGCATGATGGCACAGGAGCCATTGCTGCCTCAGCCTAGTCTTGCTGGGAACCTGTGTAAGTCAGAGGAGAGGACATGGAGAATAGGTAATAAGGGAAAGCAGAGCAGCCAGCTTTCCAGGGAGAGGAAGAGAAGACTTGGACAATGGACAGGAACCAGGATTCAGTGATCCATTCCTCAAGGTGTCATGGGGATTTTTTAGGCAATGAAGGAAACTTTTTTTTGTCTGTAAAAATAATATTCTGTCTTTTTTACCCAAGAGTAACTCTCTGTCAATGTAAAATTTCTAAGGAGTCAATGCACCAAAATAAAACTACCAAACCCACTACATTTAGCAGACTTTTGCTTTCCATCCTTGTGGGCTGGAAATCCTTGTGGGATTTCCACCTTGTGGGTGGAATCAAAGCAGACAATTTTTTGAAAACGTTTGCTTTCAAACATATGACTGATCATCCAAAATCATCTTCTCAATTCCTAGAGATCAAGTTAATTTTGTTCTTACAAAAAGACACTTCCTCCCCCTGTATTCCGCTTTCTGGGTCTCTGGAGATGTCTCTGTGCCTTGCGAGGAGCTCTGCTGAACATATCAGGTTAAGTCTAATTTAAAGCCCAAGACAAGAAGTGGTCAGCTACCTGCTGTTTCCCATCAACTGTAAGTCACCAAGAGGAACAGGATGTGCTGGGTGCACTCCCTTTTCTGGAATCCTATCTCACCCATCAGGTGGAAGGTTCATTAACTGAAAGCTATACTACAGTCAAAGGCTCTTGATATTTTACTGAGCAAACCTTGAACTTGTCCATGAAATGGTTCACAGCTGCTTTCTGGCTGATGCAAGGACCCACACAGATGCTGATGAACACTCTCCCACACTACAAAACAGCTTAACTCTCACAACTGTCTTTTGCAACACATCAGTGCCTGGAACTGAAACACTGATGATGGTGCCTGCTGTGTTCTGATTATATCTGTAGAAAACCCTTCTCTCCCCCAGCCAAGGCTTTTGCAAAGAGCACAGCAGCCATATGGTCATCATCAAGTACTGGAAAGGTCTTGGCTATCTGCTATAATCAGCTGAATCCTGAATCTGTCACCCATTAGCTCCTTGTGCCTGCAGAGGAGTGTTTCACTCAGAATGCCAAATTCCTCTGGGCTCAGAAGATCCTTCCTCAGGGCTGACATGGAGATGGCTACACTTTCTCAAGACCAACATTGCCAGATGATTTTCCAATTAGCTAATATCCAGTATGAAAATCTAGTTTCTGAGAAGGCTTTATGTGCTCTGTAGCTCACTCCTGCCAGACTACACCAACTGTCCCTCTGACTATCCAGTTGTGAATGAACCATTACTGTCTGCATTTCTGCAACATATGAGGACAAAATGAGCAAAAGTTCCTGGTAAGATGGAGAAGCCAATCCCTAGTGTTTGCAATTGGCCTTCCAACAAGGCTCTTCTGTGTGTGTGGCAACAGGACTAACATGTTCCCATACAGGCCTCTGCAGAGCTGCAAAATCACACTACAGCAGTTGTTGCAAGTGTTTGCCAAGTTGGTGTCAAGATGTTAGCCTAGAACAGGAGCTAATCCCAAAGTTTCCCCAAGGAGTTTATAACTAACTTATTCTAGTTCTTCTGATGTTTTTTCTCTCCTCTACAATGATTAGCACTACTGTTTTGAAAACATAACCCTTCCTCCAAATAATTTTACAATATCCCAAAATTGTCAGCATTGGCATCTGTGCCTAAGGTGAAAATTTTCACAAGCAGGAAAAGAACAGGAATAGTCATGAGAATCCTTACTAGCCATGCTAGAGCACACTCTTGCAATTACTGGAATCCTTTTTTCTTCCTGATCCAATTTAACAGGCTCACAGCCCAAGTAAAACAAACTTTGGACTTTTTCTCTGCCCATTTTGAATGACAGTCATTTTTACTATTTACTGCTCCTCAAATGCATCTTGCAAACAAGAACACTCCACTCATATTTCCCAGCCACAAGAATTTTAGCAGCTACAAGTACTGGCTTACGTGACTCTGCTCCATTCTTACAGTTTGGCTCATAAATGTAAACACACATATTTCATATATCACTCAGCCAGTATTGCAGCAGCAGCCTTTAAGATACAGGCAAGGCATAAAACTGAAGACTGCAACCACTTAAGCCATCTGCATTTAGTCAGCATCACATGTGAGTGGATGCCTTAAGACTGTCCCAGTACTTCCGCGCTTTCTCTGCTGGTAAGCTGAACCTGCACACAGCTGTTCAACACTATTTGGAGTCAGAGGGGAAAATAACTTGTTTGTTACGCATCACTTGTTCCCAAAACAGTTATCCACCATTGCTAAGGTGATTTTCTGTGGACTGAAATCATAAGCCCTGATGTTACTGTTATTAGGTGTCACGAAATTTAAATCAGTTGTAAGATCATCTACTACATCAACTATTAAGATTTCTTCTTTTCTCTAACCTCACATCCCAGTCTCCAAATGTCATCTCCCAACTTTTGTATGGATGTATTTGTGTCAGTCCAGTCTGCATTTGAGAACCAAGCAGTTTTGGATCCTTTCTTTCCAAGTGTTTGTAAATCCAACCACACGAAATAGCCAAATTACAATGATTCAGCTGAGATATCAGCAGTAGAAGTTACAGCTCTACAGTTGGAGGTAGACCTTGTAACACAATCCCAGTTCTCACCATTTCAAGTCTCCCTACTTCCTCAGCAGGGAGAGTGGTTTCACTGGATCCCTGCAATTAAAAGCTTGGCAATTAAAAGTGGCCTTTTCTTTAACAGTCAAGGCCAATCAGACTACACTTACTCTTGATCAACCCTTTCTTTGATTTTGCTGATGAATTTGTTGCCTTTTTGATAATAATTTATCAATGTTAACCAACCATCACAGTCTCCCCAGTCACAGCTCTTTACAAGGAAAGGTTGGGTTTAAACTCCAAAAGATGAGAAAAAGAAGGTCCAAGACATGTCCGAAGATAGGCAAGTGTTCCAAATCAATGCAACATCCAATCTCCTACTCTCCCATTTCCTCTGCCAGCTCCTGGCCACTGTTAACTTCAAACTCCCTACTAAGTATTATTCCCATCTTAACACACCTATAGGATAGTTCTATTTTTCTTCTATTTTTGAAGACTTGCTCTCAAATAAATCTTTAGAAATACAAATTTTATTTTAGTTTTTAAGTCTTGAGACTACACTTGATTACTTGCATGGCTTAGATCAAAAAGCCTGCAGTCCTTCCTCTTGGAAAGACTGAATTTTAAGTCAGTACTTTACCCAAGCATATTTTAAGGGTACTGGAGAATATTCTCCAGAGCAGAGCAGAGAAAGTGGTAGTGGTAGCAGGTACTTTTGATAAAATTGACCCTACTGAAGAGCACAACCAAGTTAATTTGAAGCAAAGAAAAAAAAATTAATTTTCCCTGCTCACAACTCCAAAGCTTTCAGTTAGTTAGTTCCCTGACCAGAAACCTCTGACCCCAGTGCAGCAAGGCTAAAAGCAATGAGGCACTGGTTCACTGTGTTGAAAGGGCTCTCCTACACTCCAGGGCTGCCTCAGCACAGCCTGAGTGTGGGCCAGGCAGTGTTTCCTCACCAGGGGTCCACTCCCATCAAACAAGAGGAAAAGCAGCATCCTGCAGCTGGCAGGACCAGGCTGCAAGGGGGTAGAAACTGCAACACCACAAGAAGAGCCCCAGGGAGGGGAAAGGGAATGATATGTGCAATAACTTCACGTTATTGCAAGTAGCACAACAAAGACGTTGACTATAAAAGTTGATGGCCACAGAACCAACCTTCTTCTCTAGAACCACATACCCCTACTTTCCAGCATTGTTGAGCCTGCCTTTCCTTATCCTGCTTTATAAACAATAACCATCTGAAGCCCATAGGCCCTAAACATTCAGATTCACTAAAAGGCTTACATTTTCCTTTGTTTTAGCATAGTCAAGATTTTAGCAAGCATTTATCTGTTTCTTACTGCTAACCTCACTAAAGAGGCATAATAATAATAAAAAAGTAACTAGGATTGATAAGAAGAGAAGCAATCAAGCACAAAAAGGCTATTATTCCATGTTAACTGTCTACTGTCCTCCACCCAAAATTCAGCTTATGACAGTGGTTCACAAAACACCTTGGGCCTTTTGTAAGAAGTACCATATAAATATGTGTGCATTAATAATCTATAACTGGAACAAAATAACACTATATTTAAATTGCTCTCTCTCTCCCATACTTACATGTGCTAAATTCTCATAAAGATACCTCTGAAACCTGAGTCTGATCACTT